TACTTTTAGAAATTTGTTTACTGTCACCTGTGCGCCAGGAAATATGTATGAGGATGTTCACTGCAGCACTCTTTATGTTACATGGGAAATAACTAAACTTTTCTCAGAGTTCTCAGGGGAATAAATCACAGTAAATGTATGTGGTAGAATACTATGCAGTCATTGAAAGAATAATGTGGATACATAAGTCCTTATATAGAAAGGTATTCAAGTAACACCGTTTTTAAAAACAGGTAAGAGAATAGTATATGTGAAAAATTCATACAAAAATGAATTGACGTAGTATAATCCAGCAATTTCACTTCTGCCTATACATCTAAAAGAACTGAATATGACGTCATTAAGACATTTGAACACCATGTTCATAGCATTATTTACAATAAATCAAAGGTAGAAGTAGCCCAGATGTCTATCGAGAGATGACTGGATAAATAAAATGTGATATATGCATAAAATGGAATATTATTCAGCCTTAAAAAGGAAGGAAATTCGGACACATGCTACAACATGGATAAACCTTTGAGGATATTATGTAAGTGAATAAGCCAGTCACAAAAAGACAAATACTGCATGCCTCCACTTATATGAGATACAATAGTCAAAATCGGAGACACAAGTAGAATGGCGGTTGCAACTAATGATTTCCAGCCATAGCACCTTCATCTAAGACCAAGAGAGGTAAATGAACTGAAGGGTTCCATCTGACCAGAGAAGACCAGCAAATGCTCAGGGACCTGTAGACATGAACACAATTATTTCCAAGAAAAAAAGATGAGCCATGGCTCTTGTCTGACAAGTGTAGTGGAGAGCAGACTTGCTTAGAAGGACATTCCCAGGAGGAGGTAGCAGTTTCATTTTGGCCTGGCTTTCATCTCTAACCTCTAGGAACAATTTTCTTGCTTTGTCATTATAGTTCCAAACGTTGGTCCCTTTGGGGAAACTACTTCAGCTCAACAAGCAAATGTCATCAGGTTTGTTGTTTGTTTTTCTTTCTTTCCCTAGTGCAGGAAAGAAGTCCAGAATATCCCACTGTAGCGTAAGGATTATTTTGAGCTAAAGGCATTTGAGAATCAAGGGATTCAAGAAAAGTTGTTTGGTTTTAATTTTTTTTTTCCTGAACTTCCCTACCTAAAAGCAATGCCTCTCAAAAGAATTCAACTGTCTTAAATTCCTTCCCAGGAATTTCCAAACCAGGGAAGATTGACTCCTGTCATCAGAAACAAGAAGTTGGTACTGGGATAATAAATCATCTAATAGACCTTGTGCAACACTGTCGTATCTCCCATCTATTCTCCCAAAGGCCTGTTTATGTTTTCTAAAAGTTATTTCTCTGAAGTGCCCTTTCTCCTTCTCCCTTCCCCTTATTTAGATAGTATATAAGCCCCAAATTCTTTTTTTTTTTTTTTTTTTTTGAGACGGAGTCTTGCTCTGTTGCCCAGGGTGGAGTGCAGTGGCACAATCTCAGCTCACTGCAGCCTCTCCTCCCCAGGTTCCAGTGATTCTCCTACCTCAGCCTCCCAGGTAGCTGGGATTATAGGTGTATGCCACCACACCCAGCTAATTTTTTGTATTATTAGTAGAAACAGGGTTTTGCCATTTTGTCCAGGCTGGTCTCAAACTTCTGACCTCAGGTGATCCTCCCACCTCAGCCTCCCAAAGTGTTGGGATTACAGATGTGAGCCACTGCACCCGGCCATAAGCCCTAAATTCTAATTGCTCCTTGAGTGATATTTTTCTGTGAACTCTGATTACTTCAATGAATAAAAATTTACCTTTCCAGGCCAGGCCCAGTGGCGGAGCGGACACTGAGCAGGCCGTAAGGAGGACAGATTTGTTTGGCTGCATTCAAGGCTGCCTATAGTTCCTGCCTTTTGGGTGCTTATGATGGCAGACAAGGCCTCATGAAGGTGAACCAAAGGACGGAAGTCACAGGAGACCCTCCCGTCGGCCCCGCCATGCCTGGACAGCCGCTGCAGCCTGAACTTTCTGCCTCGCTCCTGCTTTCCCTGTTGCATTGAACTCCGGTGCATCACTCATTCCTGTTCTTTTTCTTGGGAGAAAAAGTCCTCCTGCCATGCAGTGTGTCAAACCCGGATTCGTCTCCCCGACCCGCCTTCCCACCTCCCGCCCCTCTGCTCCCTCCTGGCCTCTATTCTCAAATTTCACTGCAGCAGACGTCTCTCTCCAGAGTTCTTGCCTCGGCAAAGGCCGGTACCATCCTTCTCCCTTTCAGCCTTTCATCTGCATTTCCCTCCTTATGTCTTTCAGACTTCTCACCCGCTGGGTTTATTTTCTCCTCCTCTGGCGCCAGCCTTCCTTCTTTGGTATATACTTCGAATTTACAGCCATCTCTAGGCAGATGTGGGGGTCATTCAGCAAGAAGAGAACACATGTTTTGTGTGCTCACTCCGATGGGTGTCTGGCTTATAAAGTTGGTGTGGTCCAATTCCTATCTGCCGCCACCACTGTGCTCTGCAGAGAGGTTTACTCTCTCCACTCTGTTCCTGGTCCTGAAGACCTCCCATGTTCCCCCAGTTCAAACTTCGCCTCTCCCATGAGGATTTCCCTCACTGTATTCTATACCCTCACAGCCCGTAACACACCACTCAACAAATACACAGCTGCATCTAACCAAATGTGACCCTGTGTCCATATGTATGTTTCTGTATATTAACGCATTCTTGTTTCCCCTGCCAGGCTCCATTAGTCTGGTTAGCTTTTGCCCAGGCACAAGGCATGGTATCAGGAGATAAGAGGATGGTGAGAGGCTCAGAATCCTAGATGTCCACCACTAGGTGATGGTGGGGTCAGGCATCTCCTTAAGCTGTCGGTGCTCTGTCCCCAAGTGGGGGTGCAGTGGCACAATCTCGGTTCACTGCAGCCTCCGCCTCCTGGCTTCAAGCAATTCTCCTATCTCAGCCTCCTGAGTAGCTGGGACTACAGGCATGCGCCACCACACCCAGCTAATTTTTGCATTTTTAGTAGAGATGGGATTTCACTATGTTGGCTGGGATGGTCTCGATCTCTTCACTTTGTGATCTGTCCACCTCAGTCTCCCAAAGTGCTGGGATTACAGGCGTCAGCCACCACGCCTGGCCTACTTCCACTTTCTTTTGAATGGAGATGTCTGTTTTTTTGGAAATACATGTGATGGTGGGCTAGCAGTAGAAGCACTACTGTAATGGTGAGGTGAACTTTGTCACTTTGCTTCTTGGGACCTCACTAGTCTTATATATAAAACGAAGAAGTCAACCTAGCTCAAAGTGTGGTCCCCAGGACTCCTCGGATCCTAACCTCTTTTAGGTGTCAAAAGGGGGCAAACTAGTTGCCTAACAATATTTAGAGCTACTTCCCTCTTTTCACTCTCATTCTATGAGTGTACACTGGAGTTTCTAGAAACCACGTGGCGTGTGAAGTCATCCCTCTAATAATAACCTGAAATGAGGTTATTATTGTGATTTTTAATGAATACATTTTAAAATATTTTTTTATTTCTGAAAAAGCAAACATTAATCTCTCTATATATGCGTGCGTGTATACATACATAGGAAATGTACGCTGATAAAAACAACTTATCACCAATTACCCTCGGTATCTACAAAATGCCTGGCCACGGGAGGCACAATTATTTGTTGAGTGAATTCATGATCTTAAAGATCTAGAAATCTGGTTCAGTGGTTCTCAAACTTTTTGGTCCTTTTCACTTAAAAATTATTAGGACCAGGCCGGGCGCGGTGGCTCAAGCCTGTAATCCCAGCACTTTGGGAGGCCAAGGAGGGTGGATCACGAGGTCAAGAGATCGAGACCATCCTGGTCAACATGGTAAAACCCCGTCTCTACTAAAAATACAAAAAATTAGCTGGGCATGGTGGTGTGTGCCTGTAATCCCAGCTACTCAGGAGGCTGAGGCAGGAGAATTGCCTGAACCCAGGAGGCAGAGGTTGCGGTGAGCCGAGATCGCGCCATTGCACTCCAGCCTGGGTAACAAGAGCGAAACTCTGTCTCAAAAAAAAAAAAAAAAAATTATTAGGACCTAAAGAGTCTTTATTTATGTAGGAAATGTATGAATATATATGTTATATTCATACTATATATAATATATATTCATACTATACATATATATGTGTATATATATGTGAAATGTATGGTGTTATAGTACATATTCATACTCTGTGTATAATATATATTCATACTATATATATTATATTCATACATTTCCTACATAAATAAAAGCTCTTCAAGGTCCTAATAATTTTTCTTTTTTGAGATGGTGTCTCACTCTGTCATCAGGCTGGAGTGCAGTAGTGCAATCTCAGCTCACTGCAACCTCCACCTCCCGGGTTCCAGTAATTCTCCTGCTTCAGCCTCCCAAGTAGCTGGGACTTACAGGCGCGTGCCACCATGCCCAGCTAATTTTTGTATTTTTTAGTAGAGATGGGGTTTCACCAATCTGGTCTCGAACTCCCAACCTCAGATGATCCACCCGCCCCAGCCTCCCAAAGTGCTGGGATTATAGGTGTGAGCCGCCACACCTGGCCTAGGTCCTAATAATTTTTAAGTGAAAAGGAGTCCTGAGATCATAAAGTTTGAGAACCACTGAAACATATTTCTAGATCTTTAAGATCATCAATTCCCTCAACAAATAATTGTGCCTCCCGTGGCCAGGCATTTTGTAGATACCGAGGATAATGTGGTGATAAGAACATGTTCCCCGCTCTGAAGAGACAAACGAATAAATTAACAAGACAATTTCTAAAAGCAGTAGGTTTAATGAAGCCAAAAGGCAGGACGCATATTCCTGCACAATCTGTGCGCCTGCTCAGATGTCAGTAACACTCTGTAGCTCAGCAGCCAGATTCAGCTGGGTCTCCCCAAAAGGCCCCGAGCCCTTTTCGTTGCCGTAGGACGGCGGGGGCGGGGAGGGGGTGGGGGGCCTGCCCGCCCCCATCGGCGCTGGCGTCAGGTGACGTCACTGGGCCGCGCCAGCCAATCGCAGGCGGCCGGGGTCTAGGCACCACGGTGGACGGCGGCCTGCCGGGGGCGCTGTGGCCCGCCGGGCGGCCCCTCAGAGCCGCCATAGCCTCCCGCGTTCTCCAACCCAACGTCTCCGCCGTCCGTTCCGCGGCGCCGCCATGGCCGATGTGGAAGACGGCGAGGAACCCTGTGCCCTGGCCTCTCACTCCGGGAGCGCAGGCTCCAAGTCGGGAGGCGACAAGATGTTCTCACTCAAGAAGTGGAACGCGGTGGCCATGTGGAGCTGGGACGTGGAGTGCGATACGTGCGCCATCTGCAGGGTCCAGGTGATGGGTAAGCGCTGCACGCGAGGCCGGAGCCGCGCTGCGGCCTCTGGGAGCCGACTCCGGGGGTGGGAAGGGACGGGCGCCCGCCGGAAGCCTCGGAAAGTCCCCTGCCTCGGGGAGTGGGCGGAGGTCGCCCTGCCTGGACGTTGGGGGAACGTGGAGCTACGCTCAGGCTGCGGCCGCCGCCTGGGGCTGCAGGGTCGTGCAACAGGCGCCCGGCGTTCTAGGGAGAGAGACGGGCAATAAACGGAGGTGAACAGTGAACAAGGTAATTTCAGGTAGTTATGGGTGTGACCAAGAGAATAAAACCGGGTGATTGTTGGAAATTAGCAGGAAACGCCTCGGTTTATGTGGCCAGCCCCAGCCCCTGCTCTAAAAGCTCACCGCGAGGTGGTCAGGGTATAAATTAGGCCGTGATTCAGCAGTAAACTTTAATGGTCTTGGTCACCACCAAAGTGATGCTCCGGAGTCATCTTCCACAAAACGACACCCTTAGTTCTCCTCAAGAGGTGCAGGGAAGTGTTTCTTAGCCTTTGCGTTTCCGGATTAATTTACCGCCGCTCTTCGAATGGCTTTTAAATCTGGATTGATCTAAGACGGGTCAGATAGCACTAGCGTGGCTTGAAGGGGAAAGTATGGTTCAAGAATATCTAAGTTTCATGGGAGCTGAGGAATGTAAGCCCTTTATTCAGAAACATAAAATTTCACCTCCATCACAGCTCCCTCTCCATCATGAGATGCCATTTCCTGGGGAAGATACTGCCCTGCTTTAATGATGCCGTTGTGGAGAACCTTCTTACAAATATATCTTCTTTCTGCGATTTTTTGATTTAGAATATTGGACCAAGCGAAACGTTTCAGAACCGCTTAATCTCATGTATTATATGGTTCTAAGATCTCAGAGCACTCTGAAAATCAAGTGCTATTTAAATGCAAGTTGTGTTTTTAGATAAGGCATTTAAAATCACTTTCAGAACGTCTTCAGTGGAGTTCTTTATTGAGGATAAAGAAAATGGCATTTCTATAGTTTGAAAACTGTGACTTGTCCTGAAGAGTGAGAGATTTGGAGAACATAAAGAGAATTGCTCTCCTTAAGGAGGATGAGACTTTAAACCTACCAGAATCAAGAGATTTCTCAATATGTGCTCTTTTGTCTTTTATTCCTAAGGGCTTGTTTTAAAGAGGATTTACAACAATTGTATTCAGACATTTTTATCTTTTACTTTTGAAAGACCTTGATATTAGACATGACCCACTTATTTTACATGGATCACTTGAGCCCAGGAGTTTGAGACCAGCCTAGGCAACATTGTAAGATCCTGTCTCTACAATTAAAATTAGCCGGGCGCGGTGGCTCAAGCCTGTAATCCCAGCACTTTGGGAGGCCGAGGCGGGTGGATCACGAGGTCAAGAGATCGAGACCATCCTGGTCAACGTGGTGAAACCCCGTCTCTACTAAAAATACAAAACATTAGCTGGGCATGGTGGCGCGTGCCTGTAATCCCAGCTACTCAGGAGGCTGAGGCAGGAGAATTGCCTGAACCCAGGAGACGGAGGTTGCGGTGAGCCGAGATCGCGCCATTGCACTCCAGCCTGGGTAACAAGAGTGAAACTCCGTCTCAAAAAAAAAAAAAAAAATTAAAATTAAAAAATTGACCAGGCATGGTGGCCTCCAGCTACTCTGGAGGCTGAGGTGGGAGGACCCCTTGAGCCCAGGAGGTTGAGGCTACAGTGAGCCTTGTTCCTGACACTGCAACTGTACTCCAGCCTGGGTGACAGAATGAGATCCTGTCTCAAAAGCAAACAAAACACATTAGGTTTTAAAAGTATCTAGTTTATTTGCCAGCAGTATAGCCACTCCCAGCCCCCTTTAGGAATCAAAATTTCCAGTTTGGGAAACATTTTTAGCTGATCCAGGAGACTCTTGCTAAAAATTTTATCTCCTAAATGCATTTCCTTTAGTTTAAAGGAAACTAAACTTTCACTTAGTTCCTTTTCAATTTAAAAATAATGTTCTCAAAGGATATTTTTAAAAGATTTCTCTCTCAAAAAGCTATTTCCTCCCCCAAGGAAAAACATGTGAAGAGTGAGTGTAAATGTATAACCTGAAATAATGATTGAAACTTTGCAACAAATAAACTTTACTGAGATATTTAAAGTAAGTCAAAGTATAGGCTATAAATGACATATTTCATCATAAACGTTCTAATTATAGGAAGTATTCTGCTACCACAGGATCAGTGTTACATTTTTACAACAGCTGTACTTTGGGTTCAGGAAAGTATTCTAGACTACACCTTTGTATTTTGTTTATGAGGTGTTAAAACCCACTTAGAGGTCAGGTGACAGCAGAAGGAAATTTTTCTTCCCAACTTCCTAGTACTTACCCTAGCATCATTCTAAAAGGTGTTACTGTTATTGTACTCCTTAGAAATGTGCTGTTTTGGCTGGGTGTGGTGGATCAGGGAGGTCCAAACAAGGTCAGGAGTTTGAGACCAGCCTGACCAACATGGAGAAACCCCGTCTCTACTAAAAATATAAAATTAGCCAGGCATGGTGGTGCATGCCTGTAATCCCAGCTACTGGGCAGGCTGAGTCAGGAGAATCGCTTGAACCCGGGAGGCAGAGGTTGCTGTGAGCCAAGATCATGCCAATGGACTTCAGCCTGGGCAACAAGAGCAAAACCTCATCTCCAAAAACAAAAAAAGAAATGTGCTGTTTTAGATACTAGGAAGATCATTAAGGCATTTTTTTTCTTTTATCTGAAACTTTAGGAATTTGTGTAGATTTTGGTCAATTTTGATAGTCTACATCAAAGCTATAAGCATAAATTAGAGAATTCTAGATTCAGCAACAAGAACCCACTTAGTTCCCTTTCCTTAATATTTGAATTTATCCACTTGTGATTTATTACACTTTCTGCTCCAGAGATTTGCCCGTCAGCCCATTCCGATGTGGATGACACTCTCACCTTGGTTTCCACTCTCCTCCCTTCATTAGTAAAGGAGTGATGATTGCACAGTGAGCAAGTTCTGATGAAGAGGGGAATAGGTTTGCTAGCACAGCCAGTTGTAATAGCCAGAGTAATCCTTCATGACTCTATCACCTTGGATATTTCATGGAACTTTTTGGAGGCTTATTTTCCTGATTTGTAAAGAGGTGGTTGGGATCACCAACCTTAATATTAAAACTGTGATTGCACAGAACTAGAGCCAGATACAGGTAGCATGTCTTCACCGTTATGTCACAACCCTCATGATATTTAGTTGTTTGTCTACATCCCCAATTGCTGTTGAGCCCCTTGAAACCCAGCCTTGGTCATTTTGGTGTCCCCAGTGCATAACTCCTTGCACAGAGTAGATAGTAATTGTGGGATTGAAGAAAACCTCAGGAGGCAGTGGTTGTTTTTAATCCACACTGAAGAGACCAGGGCGGTGGTGTTTTTTTAAGGGTAAGAACATGTGGAGAGGAGCAAACAAATGCCTGAGCAGAATCCAGTGTAAGAAGAGAAGCAGGCTTCAACTCCACCGTGTTTCTATTTTTACAGAATTATTTTTCTCCTATTTACGTTAAAAACGTTTCTGTTGGTTCGAACTTCCTTTTACCCAGCACTGACTCCTCTTCTAGCTGGTGAATGAGTCCATTTTTGGTCCCTAAAATATTCTGTATTACTTTTTTCATTAAGCTGATAATAGTATTCCAGATTGAATTTTGAAAACTTCTAGTACAGCCTTTAGGATCTCATTTTTAGTACTTACACCTACTCCACTATATTAGAAGTTACTGTAAGTTCACTGGGCATGCTCATGGGCAGTTTATTTTCAAGACATCTTTTTAAATAAGCCATGAATATATGTTAATATTTGTTCATGTATACATCAAGAAACTCTAGAAGGACACCCAAGAAACCAATAATAAAGTAATTTATTAAAATACTTTATCATTGTTGGGTAAATGCTTTCGATTCAGACTTACCTGTAAAGGAAGAATTTTTTCTTTCTTTCTTTCTTTTTCTTTCTTTCTTTCTTTCTTTCTTTCTTCCTTTTTTTAAAAAAAAGACTTTTCGGTTCAGGGGTACAAGTGTAGGTTTGTTACACAGGTAAACTTGTGTCACAGGGGTTTGTTGTACAGCTTGTTTCATCACCCAGGTATTAAGCCTAGTACCCATTAGTTATTTCTTCTGATCCTCTCCACACTCAGAAAGGCCCCAGTGTATGTTGTTCCCTGCTGTGTGTCCATGTGTTTTCATCATTCAGCTTCCAAGCATTTTCTTACAAAGAAAAAACACTTAGTATTTAGGGCTATCTAGTATTTACTTATTTTTTCTATAAAATTCTCACCAGTATGTGTCTTCCCTACTTTATATATAAATACCTCACGGTATTGTCCCTTTTTTGCAGATGAGGGAATTGGAGTGTGTAATTGGTCCAAGGCCATGAACCTAATAAATGCCAGTGAAGTGGGATTAACTGTAGCTCTTCTGGCTCCGCAGCCCTTGCTTTCCCCTCTGTGTCTCACTGCCTTCTCACCAGCCTTGTCTGGATGACCATCAGTAGCAACCTGTTGGAAGCATACAAAGCAGTTCGTTTTAAAGGAACTCTCAAGTGTCTTAGGGCAGAGAGTAAGGTTACTTTTTATGAGTTGCTGAGGGAAAACTTCTGTGTCAGTAAGTATGGATGACTTAAAAAAATTTGTTTATGGCCGGGTGTGGTCGCTCATGCTTGTAATCCCAGCACTTTGGGAGGCTGAGGCAGGTGGATCACCTGAGGTCAGGAGTTTGACTTCAAGACCAGCCTGATGAATATGGTGAAACC